GCCGTGGTATTCTTTTGTAGCAGCAGCAAACTTGGCAGCCTGTAAGACAATTAAATTAATTCCTGAATGACCCGATCTGTTCCTCATCACAAGTCCCCATGGCAGGGTGTAAAATGGTTACTGGCCTTGAACTTGCCCTCTTGGATTAGCCCTGCTGCTGATTTTATTTTGGTGAGTGAAATTACCAAGTGTTTCACAGTTCATGTCCTATTGAGAAGATAAACTTCACTGAGTTAAATATGCAAGATTGGCACACATAAAACATTTCTCTCACCTGCGAGTGTAACAGTAAAAAATGAAGCAGAGGTGGACATTCAAAATTACACTTGCCTCTATAACCTGGGAACATTAGAAATCCTTCTTGCCTTTTTCCTGCAGTCCTTGGGCACAGCTCTTGTGTTCTACCCCAGAAATCTCTTAGAATCAGGACAAGACAGCATGCCATTATATTTATCCAAAGGCCACACTGTGTTTTAGATGAAGGAATAAATTACCCTAAATTCTGTTTCTCATCTCAGAAACACTTATCTAGCCAAACTCCTAGAAACTGGTACATTGCATGATGCATCAGCCCTAGCCGCGACCATGCAGTTTTCAGTATGCCAGACAATCAGCAGGGCTCCTGAGACGAGCACGGAATCAGCCTTACCTCGATTAGGTTAGGAAAGCAAATTACTGCAACTCCTCATTATAGGGTAATCACAAGTACCAGCTCAGCACCACACCCGATCAAAGAAGCATTTCCATACCCTAAATGAAGCATTATTAGGGAGAAAGAAGTGGACAGATAGAAAAGGAGAAAGATTTCTCTGTTTAAGGTTTCCCAGATTTCAGTCTGCCAGAGACCAGCCATGCCAGCTGTCCAGTCTGCAGTATGGACTTAAACTCGCAATGCCCAAAGCAAGAAACTTCATTGGCCCACCAGGTGCTCCTGCCCTAAATCTTGCAGTTCAGTTTTTCAGCTTCCTATCACATCCATGAGTTCTTCCCAACCTGCGTCCTAGAGGCCCAGTTAAAGACCAAGACAGTCTTCTTCTCTGCTCTCTTGAAGCTTACCTAAGGTTCTCTCACTTAGGTCCTGACCTTGTGTAACGTGAGTCATTCTGCTTGCTCGAAAATCCCTTTCTTCCTCTCACTCTCGTGCTACACAGAGCTTGACTCCCTCTAGACAAGCATCCCAGGCTTTGAGTCCAAGCTGGAAACGCAAGGTAAAAAGAGCCAACAAGGTGGAGCGGCCCGCAGGCGCCTGCCATGCAGCACTGGTGGTGTGAGGTACCGACTACATCCCTAGCGATGAGCACCAGGTCAGGTCCCACCCACCAGAGCAATGGCAGCAGTGTGCAGCTGTGTCCTGACATGCTGCCCACACAGGTGCACTCTGGGAGTCCCCACTTTTCTATCCCAGCAATTACCAGATCCTGCCAGCTCCGCGTGGATGCTGCCCTGACCACTAGGTCATGGCTGGTTGTGTAATTTAAAGATCTCTATTCTCCTACCCCAGGACTTGGCCTAACAAGCCCCAGCCTTATACATGTAGCCGTCTTCTCTGTGCAAATTGACTCCCCTGCCCCACCATAGGCCTACATATTAATTGGGGCTCCCTGGAGGAACAGATTTAATATTGAATACATGTGTGATTATACGAAGGCTCTGCGAGGCAGGCTTTCAGGACGGAAGCAGAAGAGTGCCCGTGGCTGTTAGATCCGCAGTGCGAGGGTACAGAGGAGATGTCTGTAGTCTGCCGTGAGTCTGGGCAAAGCCAAAGGGTCTGCGGTGGGAGGCAGAGGCACTGGCGGTGAACGGTCTAAGGCAGCGGCAGAGACCAGAGCTTGCTCTGAAGAAAAAAGCGCAGGCCTCTTCGTCCCCTTTCATTCCTCGCTTGCAGCCTGCCTGTCAGCCATCCTCAGTGCTCTCAGAGCTTTCCTCACCCACCAGCTGGTTCCTCCTCAAGCCACGCTGACCATCACAGTTTACAGGCACAGTTCCTATACCTGCAAGATCGGCAGCTTCGGGGCCCAGACCCACCTGACCCGCAAGTGAATCCCATCATCTCAATTGATTTCTAGTACTGGCCACACGTTAGAGACACCAAGGACAAGAGGCTTGCACCAAACAACTGAGGTCAGAGCTGCCTGCTAAGAAACCCCTGCTGCTCCTAGTCTGGCACGGACCTGCGGCTGTGCTTGCTACAGGCACCAAGTGATTCTGATGGCTCTGAAGCCCTGATGTGCTGTGAGGCCTGCACTTCCCCAAGGCTATCGCTCGGTAGTTCCACAGTGTGAGTCCCACGTGAAGTCCATGCCCTCTCTAGACTCCGCTCCCCAAACTCCAGCCCCTTCTGCATGTTCTCAGTGGGGCTGCAGACGAGGAGGAGGCAGGCACAGGGCCTTTGCTCTGTGGCCCTGGTTCTCACTGTGTCTCCTTATGTCTTCTTCCTCACCAGAAGTCACTCAACACACTCACAGTCCTTGTCTTCAGCCTGATACACCAGTTAGGAACAAATGAAACAAACTATGCAGTCAGTGTAACTATTACCACCATCAGTGAGTTCTCATTCTCTTCAAGAATCAGTAGGGAAGGCGAAACTCAAACTCTGAACCGGTAAGCTCCTGCCTTCTGCCTGGGTAATCCCCATAGTGCTCCACTCTGATCACCCACTGGGTTATGAGCACAGGAAGGCCGGAAGAGAGTCTGCTACTGAGCAGCTGTCCTGGGAACCGTTTGGTGAATGGATGACCCAGTGCCTGAGAGGAGGCAGGAAGAGAAGAGCTGTTCCACAACCAACACACAGAACCAGAACCACAAACAAAACCCAAGGAAAATTCAACAAAAACCTTTTCCTCTAAGCAAACTTTTGCTTCTGGTCAAGGCATTTAGACATCTGCCATCTTATTCTCTGTTTCAATCTCAGACTGCCGCGAAGCAGCAACCTGATCTCCCCAAACTCCCTGTTCTGCCTGTGAGCCCTTACCGTCTGCCAGCCCAGCAGCAGCCTAGTTGTTGGGGCTCTCCCTACAGTAACGGTAGGAAGCTTTCCAGCTCTACAGCATCGTTCAGAGAGATTGGTGAAATGTGCGGTGAGCCCTTCCTGACTCATTTTCTGACTTCGGTGGTGTTTGGAAAGGACTGAAAGCTGAGACTGCTTATCCACAGGCCCTTTGAGCACTGCGCTGTTTAGCTAAGAAGCCTAATGGGAATCGGACCACTGCACTTGAGCAAATGCAGCCAAGCCTTTCCATACTGACGCGGCCCTGGGGCTGGGACTGCCTGTCCATGACAGGTCGGGGAAGCTGGGCCGCTGATCCAAAGGAAAGCAAGCAAGGAAAGAGGAAGACCAAGGCCAGCTCACCCGGGCTTGTGTGACGCTTCTCCGGGGACAGGCGCATGACTTCGCTCCAGCATTCACTAGGATGAAGGACCCCATCCTGGAGTCTGAAACCAGCATAGGAGCTGGAATGTGAGCACCGTCTGAGTCTGTCAGAGCGCTGCAGAGGGGTGGGGAGGACGCGCAGGACGGCCCATGCAGAGATCCACACGGGTTGCTTGTTTGGGAGACTGGAGAGATCCACATGTGTTCATCTACATGTACTCCACCTAGGGATACGACGGCTAGTTTTCTAAATATTGGCCATGGACTGTCTACAGCCACCTCGAGTGTTTAAATATACACACCCGGGGGCAGACACTTGTATTCCTAGCACTCCTGGAGGCTGACACGGGAGAATCACAAATTCAAGCCCAACCAAGGCAGCTTAGTGACTTAGTGAGACCCTGTCTCAAAATTCAAATCCAAAACCAAAACCAAAAAATTGTAGAGGGTTGGGTAGATAGCTCGGTATAAAAGCACTAGGTTCATGACACAGTACCACACACACAAATCCTGGGTCTAAATAAAGCACAATCTCAGACAGTGCCGCCTTGGATTTTTCCTGACTAAACCACTCATCTAGTTCACGTAAAACCTAAAGTTTACACTTCTGTCTCGAGACCTTACCAACATAGCACAGCAAGGAGCAATAGTTGTTTCTCATGCAGGATCTGAGATCAGGTTTCCGCAGTGTAATTAAAAAGAACTTGAGAACATAAATACCCAAAGCAGAGAAACAGGACACCGCCCGGGAAGGGACGAGAGCCAAAGAAAAACTTTTTTTAATTTTCCTCCAGTTTTAACAGTCATATATAATAGCTTAGTTCAGTTTTGCCGACACATGTTGAACTCTGTGTACCAGGCCATAGGAGTAGAAAGAAACACAAGAGTGTTCACACAGGAAACTTGGAGGGCTAAGGAGCTTCCCGTCAGAGGGCGACCTGCACCAAGAGGCTGAACCCCAATGCGCAGGGTGCCCTCTGGGGACAAGTGGGCCAGAGACGGTGCATCATCCAGCAGGAGGAGCGGGGGGGGGGGGGTGGGAATAACGGGGAGCCGGAGGGGAAGCTGAAGGATGGTCAGAGATGCACACAGCCTGCGTCACACACGTGAAGGCCCAGTGTGCACAGCATCCAGGAGCTGACATGGATAGGGCCTGGAAATTCAGTCCACATTCATGATCTCATCATGGGTGTCCCAAAACCCGTTGCAACCATTGAGGGGCCCTCTCTGTGACACTGTGCATGGAATTGTGTAACTAGTAAGTTGACTATTAATATCAAAAGTTTTTCAATTTGGATCTGAGATTGATTCTCACAGGTTACCAAAAATAAATAACAGCGACAACCTTGGGGCTGGACACAGAACAGTGATACACTGAATTTCAGTTTGCCATCTGTAGCTATTGTCTGTCCAAGAAAAAGCCATGCACGAGAACTAAAGAGACACACATTTATCCCATAGCATAAAGTTGTTTGTCACCCAGTGAAACTGGTTTAATTTATGATCACAGTAATGACATTCAGATGTGATTGTGGAGGTAATGTTTCAATAGTGTTGTCTTTCATGGCCTGAAAAAAACAGGCTGGAAAAGTCACCTCTGTGTCCTTTGTAACTCTTACGTTTTCCCTAGTTCGCAGCTCATCTTGTGAAGATGAAGTACCCAAGGGTCTGTATTCTAGACGGGGGCATCAACAAGATCAAGCCCACAGGCCTGCTCACCGTCCCGTCACCACAGATATGAAGGACTGGGAGAGGGCTGGCAGGGGACCCAGTGACGGCACCAGCAGCAGCACGCTCTGCCCAGCAGCAGCTCCCCGCGACAGAACTGCACGTGCGCATCCGATGGCCCCCCGTCCATGAAATCCTGCCACAAGGCATTTTTGTAAGTCTCATCGCCCAAACACTCAGTACCCAAGCAAGGAACTTGACTGCACATGTACTGCTGAAAGAATTTCCTTTACAGTGAAATCCTGTCATGTATTCTCACCACGCTGCCACGCAAAGCCAGAGGAATTCGGCTGACAGGGCAGATTTAGTACCATCAAGAAATCCCACTTGCGCTGAAAATCAGTCCTTCACTGCACAGCACGGCCAGTCCTGACCAAGGGTTATGTAGGAGGATGGGCCAGATACGGGCCGAAAGCATCTTTCCCTGAAAACACAAATGCTGTTCAAAGGTGTGCCCTTTCAGGAGGTGCTGCCATGGGCGCCTCAGCCCAGGGGAGTTGTGTTTGCATGCACCTGCTAGTGTGTGTGTGTGTGTGTGTGTGTGCGTAGGTGTTTACAAGGACTGGAGTCTGGCCCATTGCAGAAGGCAGTGATCGTTCACTCCCAGCAAAGTGAAACTCAGGAACAGTATTTGGTAGGGTATGTGTTTCCCTCCTGTGTGGAAAAATCCAAGCGACTTAAGCAGATGTCGGGTTGATCACGTCAGAGTCCCCACGGCCCGCCCAGCCCAGCAGCGCTTAGTGTGTGTGTCCCCCCCACCCCACCCCGAGTTCTCAGCCCCGGTGACCCCTGCTGTTCCACCCTCAGCACCCGGCCTCTCCCAGGTGAAAGTGACCACGATCACCTCTGCAGTCGGGAGGAAGGAAGTGGAGGACAGAGAGGAGACAAGAGGGGAAAGGAAGAAATAGGGAGGAAGGAGGGAGGCTTCCTCCTGCAGGGCGCAAAGCCAGAGGGACCCACTCCCCTCTGCGCGTGCTGGCCAACAGAGCTGGGGCGCCTGTGCGCCCCGAGGTGATGGGCCCTGGCTGGTGGCCGCTGCAGGCAGAGGGGGAAGCCTGTCACCAAGTGGAGGGAGGGCACGTGCTGAGGGCCGGCCAGCCTCTCTGCTGTGTGGGGTGCAGACTGAAGCACCGTGACTCGCTGAATCAAAGGCACCGTAACTGTAAACCACAAGGGAAGGACAAACGCAGCAGGACAAACTGACGCACCAGCAGTACACGGTGTGATCCCTTAAGAAACTGGGGCGATTACGCATCTCACAATTACTGAAATCCGTCTTGTGACTGTCTCCAATTTGATTTGAATTCAAATGTTCCTTCATCAGTAACGCATGTTCGTGTGCAGTGTGAGGAGCGCCTCCTCTGAGGACTTCAGTCAGCCTCAGCTCAGCTTTCTGGGCCGCGGCTTTGTTATTGTCAAAAGAGACTTTGCAGGCACACCATAAAATTCAATCTTCTAAAGTGTGTGGTTTTGTGAGTTTTATTATATTCATAAAATTGTGCGTTGTCATTTCTATCTAATTCCAGAACACTTTCATCAACAGAAGTGCAACACTGTACCATCAGTAGTCATTTCCCATTGATCCCTGCTGGGTCACTGATTGAATTTATAGAGAGAGGCAGGGGTCCAGCTAACTTCTTTCATGAGGCTATACAGTCCCAGAGACCATGGTATTTTTTTTTATTCAAGTAAGTTATGTTTGTTCATGTGCCAATTAGATTTTTAATATCTACTGTGTGTAAGACATTGAATACAGAATAGAACCAACCTCCAGGATTTTTCATTTAATCTTTTTAAAATTTTGACATATTTTGTCTTTTTTCAGAAAGTGGGAGTTTTAAACATACAAACTATTAAACATTCTCAATAATACAAGAAAGAGCTCACCCTTGCTGGCACATTTTCACATAGGGCTTTTGTTTCATGACACATGATTTCAACAGATTTGACCATAGCTGCTGCCCTTTGGAGTAAACCCATGCAGTCCACGACCTGGAGAGTGCTCTGCAGTGTGCTGCCGCCCCTGTGCTGTCGCCCCTGTGCTGTCACTGTTAGCACTGTGGTCTCTCTGCTTCCCCCAGCACGCACATGCGCACACACATACACACACGTGTCCTGTGCAGCAGTGGTGTCTCCCCGGGCTTCTCCAACTCCACATGCTCCATTAGGAGTCTCTGTGTCTGTCAGGGCACTCTGTTCAGACCTCGCTTACACACCAGGACCTCGCTGCACAATCCTCTGCTCACATGTGGGGCCCTTCATATACGAGCTCCTCCAAGTCCAGGGCCCATGGTGTGTGCCTCCCACTGCCTTCAGTCCAGTCCTGGAGATCCTCACTTCATGTAGTATTGACCTCTGTACAAATGGGGAAAAAGCTACCAGCCCGTGGTAACTGCTCAGCTGCTGGATTTATCTGGCACCCATGCTATATAAATAAGTTTCAGCCTCAGTTCAATGAGTCAAGAAAATCTCTTTCTGCCCAGCTGTAAAATGTGATCATTGTAAGCTGAAAGATAATTTCCATCAAAGGACTTAGTTGGCATCCCTTTCCTAAAACAGAAATGCTACATTTTGTGCCGGGATATGGCTTAGCAGCATAGCAAGGTACTAAGTTCAGTTCACAGTACCATAAAAGAAGAAGCGCACTGTTTAAAGGTGATTTATGTCCTTGACTGTGGACAGGCTTTAGGGAGAAAGTTGAATGTGCCCCTCTTGTCACTTTGGTAACTTGCAATCAGCCACATCATGCAAGCATCAAAAAACAGGGCTGCACTCTCTCTCATTGTTAACTCTTTAAAAGACAGTCAATAACACTCACCTGCACATTACCTATTTCAACAAGCCCAAGCTTATATTGTCTGTAGATTATAAATCATGAAAGTAAAAATTTTAAAGATCACCCAGTCCAAACATCATTGTTCAAAACAATAAGTGAAAAGGTTTTTCAAATATCATGGAGCTAGAAAAAGTCAGATCCAAAATGACAGTCCTGCTGTCCTGGTTCCTATACTGTGTTTATCACATGCTGGTAAAGGACGCCAGTTTCAGTCCACTGCACGCTCACCGCGGAACAACTCGGGGTCACACCCTGTGCTGGGGGTGTGTGAACTCCCAGAGTGAAACACTGAACATGGGAGAGAAGCAGGCTGCTGCCCCTGTGACATGGAGATGCCACTGAATGTTATCTCAGAAGGTCGCGTTCTCACCGCCGCATCCTAAATATCAAAAGTAAAAACATCCAGGGCATGGCAGGGGTGGAGGAAACAAATCTGCATGCCAGTATTCCAGTCTGCCAGCAAAATCCTGTCCTCAGAAGTCCTATTGTGCTTCATGTCACCGGTCCACCTTCCAGGGAGCCCCACCCAGGAAAGCACCCGGGTAGGAAACCACACTGGCGCTGTCTACAGTAAAGTCCAAGACACGCGGGGCCTTCCACCTGTGTCTTCTGTGTCTTTTCTAAGGGTCACACTCGAGGAACTAAAAGAGTCCTGTCCCTTTCATCATCGTGTGTGGCCTGGAGGGTGGGGAAAACTGCTGGTTCTTACATCAGTTAGTCATGAAAGAGAAGAAACAGAAGTCTTGGTCCATTTGCTAGACTTGTTCTGGGCTCTGAAATACACTATCCTGAGAATTTCTCATTGCCAGACTTCCGTCTTTCCTAAAATTACCTTTAAGATTATGAGTAATTCCAGCAGCGTGCAGACTCCACGCCCGTCCCGAGGATTTGAAGGCCCTTGAGGAGCATGATTTATTGCACCAAAACGGCACAGAGAGAAATTTGCCAAGCAGTGACACCCGGGAAAGGAATCCTTTTTAAGCAGGTAATGAGGATTGTTTTTAAGTCTCTGTACTCATGTGATCATTAGCTAAGCATGGCAGCAAAACAGACAAAGCAGAGTGCCAGACCCAGTGTGACCAATCTCACTCCTCACTGAGCCTCCAAAGTGCCACCCAGAAGTTGTCACACTGGAAATACACACACCCAGCCCCCACCCTGCCTGTCACAGGGATTCTGCTGAGCTTTGTTCAGGCCTACCCTGAGCAAGCAAGGTACACACATCCATTTCTGGACAGAGAAAAATATATATTAAATACCGAATCCAAGATCAAGGCAGTAGCCTGCTAGAGGCTGACCAGGGGGCAGAAGTTTCCACAACACTTGACACTGCACCCTCCTAACCGAGGGTTCACCTGCGCTGCATTGTGACAGGAATTCTGTGTCAGTATAGTTTAACATCACTAGTCATCATGACTTGTGCCACCATCTGGGGCCTAAGTAGAGCTGGGAAAGAAACACTTTTCTTATAGTGAGGAAAGTTTAGCCTTCACCTGGTGCGCATTAAATTAGCTAACACGAACCCTAAGAAGATTAAGTCTCACAGCACTCAGATAATACAGAAGGCCTGGAGTAGCTTTAAATATGCCTTCAGACATTTATCACTAATTTTAAAAGAAAAAAAAGTTGAAGCAGCTATCATAGCTGCTAGGTAAACAGTATTTTACACACCCAATGGATATATACCAAAACTTGTTTACTGTAAATCAGGTGTGTAACAGAATGAAGTGAAAAGGAAGTAATTTTAATAAATCAACCCATTCATCAATACAGTAAATACTGCACATGTCAATTTAATCAATCCTTCAATAATATAACAACGGTTTAAAATTTCAGAGGTGACTTACATACCCTGTATTAGCAAACTCTTGCATACTTCCACAGGGATCTCATAAGATGATATAGCGTCTTATAAATAATTGTGACATTCTGAATTTAAAATTCCCCCTTTTAAGCAAAACTATAAAAATTTATATTACATTAACCAAATTATGTTAAATCGGAAAGTAAGTGAGAACTGAAGCATTGCAGTTATGTGGCCCTCTTAATGGTTTATCCTGCCCGAAACAGTAACTGAAATGGAGAGGGAGAGGAAGAAAACAGGAAGGGACGAGGAGGGCCGGGAGGGACGGGAGAGACAGAGCCGTCAAGCATTTACTAGAAAACCTGGTTGAACTTCTCTGTGAGTGCATTACCGGTGTCATCTTCGTTACTGATCAGCTGGAACAAAATGATGGTTTTGGGATCTGACTAAAATGCTGAATAAATCTATCTGAACAATTTAGTTATTCTCTTAAAATGAGCTCAGAGATGATGAGAGGACTCACTCATAACCCCAAGGCTGTGACCGCACACATCCTCACCCCGCTGCTGGGTGTGCTGCCTGGAGCCCTGGCCCAGGACAGGTGCACCCTAACCCTCAGGCCGGGAATGCACCCCAGCTGCAAGGGGGGCTGAACTTCTTCATTTCACAGCAGGAAGTCCCTAAGCCCTAGCTTGATGGCCAGGCCTTCTTAGAAGCACTAGTCAGGAAGCTATCACCTCCCCCACGGCAGGAGAGGTAGCCCCAGAGTGAGCTCTCCAGCTCACAGTCAGGCATCTTCCAGAGACACTCACAGTAACAACTGTTTTTGCAGACCCCAGCGCCACCATGCTAAAAGTGGAACTGGCAGTGCCACTCTTCGCAGGGCACATGAAAGCAGAGCCTCTCTCTCCCAGACCAAAAGCGGGGCAGCATCTATCCAGCCTGGCTCCTACAAAAGCGTTGCACAAATGGAAAAATGGTCTTCAAATGCCGTGTTCATGATGGATATGTAAAACTCATTCCAAAGTCTTTGATCTACTGTGTGTTTTAAAGAAATAGCGATGCCAGAAATAATTCTCATGACTCATTTCTCTGGTCCTATTAACACTGACTTCAAAAAAAAAGCCTTCTTCTGCCTTGTAAGCAGGCAGTCGTGAGTTCGATCCCCGGTACCGATTAAAAAAAAAAAAAAAAAGCCTTCTTGAGCGGTGTTCAGGTTACCCCCCCGCACCCCTCTGCTGCTGCGGACTGGGGGACTGGGTAAAGGAAAGCAGCCCTGGCTGCTACATTGATAGACCCATGGCTGTCCTGAGCCTCTGTGTTTCACACCTCTCCCCTGACCCAGTTTTATCAACTTAAAACACACTCTTTTGGAATAACTCAGCTCCCTCGATAAAATCTAGCAGTTTTAGTTTTGCCAATAAGCATCCTCACCTCGATGGCAGAGATTAGCTTTGTTCAAGCCGCTTTCCTGCTGCTTTATCTCCCTCTCGCCTGGCAGCTGGCTCCTCAACTTCAAAGCGGCTTTGAGGTTTGCCTCACAGAAAGCCAGGGGTGGGAGATGAAAAGCCCTCTGTTTATCTCTGAGGGCTGAAGGTCACCTGGTAAGGCTCAGAGCCATCCAGGGGGACTGAGGAAATCGATTACCTGTGTGAACCCATAATCAAGAAAAACTGGCATCCATCTTAAAGGGGTCGCATCACATAGAAACACAAGTGTGTTAGTAAAAATCAGTAGAGCACATACTCTGATATTTGGAGTATACGTTTAGAGTGTGACTGGATTGCCCAGGATTTTTTTAAAATCACACCTGGACTTCT